GTTAACGTACAGACAGCAGAAGAAGCAAGAGAGAGAGAGAGAGTTACCTTCATGGATCCGTCGCTGTTAAAAAGGCGAATATCATAGGCGGGTTTCCAAAGGCACCGACCGACTACGTAGGTGATCAACATGTCCACTGGACCATCTTCACGGGGCTCGATTAGAACGCTTATTTCTCTGTAAAATATAAAGATCCAAGAAAATGTGATAATATCGGTTGGCGATGACCTCCGTCCTGCTACTCGTCTGACACCAGTCAAGAGACGACTCCTATCATCTCAAATGCCTTCTTAAAACCTCACAGGATAGATGGATAGTGCAAGAGTTTAGCTAAAAGCTGGGTTTATGCTTGACACTTAATCCTCGTGTCAAATTACGGGTGATTTGATTTGTTTACGTCACATAGTGAGCGAATAAGGCTATTTACATGCATCCCTACTCTCATTTTGTGATTCCGCTTTCAAATAGGCCTCAAACTGACACATTAAACAGTTTTCCACTGGTATCACAAATACCTGACAAGTGGTCTGTGTAGGTATTTGTGATGCTTCGAATTACATTGCCTTGCAGACTGCCATGGCATGCCAAATTTGCGGTAGAAAGACCCTCTGAAGGTACAACGATGCCCAAGAGCTGCTCCCACCCTCTGCCGTCCCGCCTCCACCTCCACCAATTTGACCATATCCTTAATGTTTTTGCACCCATGTTGATGTGGCAGTACATTTCATCATCTGTTTACGTCAATTTCGGACGCATGACAATCAACAAGCAACGTTTACTGTGACTGTGTCCCACTTTCCATGCAAGTTGGATAAAACTAAAAGTAAATCCTCCCTGAGGTGAGTGAGTGGCACATCCCAACAAGTAATTAACATAAGTAAGGTCATTCGTTTTGGGGCTAAATTTTTCCCATCTCTCATTAGTCCACTGGAGAACTTCAATCTTGGGAATATTAAAAAAAGAAATAGTGAACTTTGTAAGGTTAGAAAGTTGTTATTATTATTTTTTTTTGGTCAAGATCTGTTTACTTCATTTGTTGCACCCTTTCTTGCATGGCTGTAGTGACATTGAGTTATTTTGTTGGCTAACCTGACTTGATTTTCATCCTGACGTTTCTCCAATTGGCTTAACTCCCTTTCAATTTG